ATTTGCCTAAGCAAATTCATAGATATGATACTAAAAGCAGAATTCATTTTTTTAAAGTGATAAATTGAACTTTATCAAAATCAAAAACATTTGCTTTGTCAAAGACATTGTTAAGATTTTTTTAAAAGACAGGCTATGGCTATGGGGGCTGGGGATGTGGCTCAAGCGGTAGCGCGCTTGCCTGGCATGCGTGCGGCCCGGGTTCGATCCTCAGCACCACATACAAACAAAGATGTTGTGTCCGCCGAAAACTAAAAAATAAATATTAAAATTCTCAAAAAAAAGACAGGCTATGGCCTAGAAAAATATATTTGAACATAATCTGACAAAAGACTTGGATTCAGGGCTACATTCAAAACCCTTCAACAATCAATAAGGAATAACAATTTTTAAAATTAAAAACTGTTTTTCATTAGTTTTTATGGTGCTGGGGATGAACCCAGGGGCCTCTCGAATACTAGGTAAAGCACTGTACCACTGAGTTACACCTTCAGCCCTCAACACTTTAAAAAGGAAGATGTATAAACAGCAAATAAGCACATGAAAAGATGCTCAATATCATTAATTATGAGGGTAATGCAAATTAAAACCATAATAAAATGCCACCACTTACATGTCAGAATAACTAATATTTCTAAAATTAACATTACCAAGGTGTGGCAAGAATGCTGAGCAACTAGAACTCTCATCCATTACTGGTTAGAATGCAAAATGGTTTACTCACTTTGCAAAACAGTTTGGAAGTTTTTTATAAAATTAAGCATACACTTACCATAAGACCCAGCAATCCTACTCTAAAAATAAAAAATCAGGTTCACACAAAAATATGCATGTGAATGTTTTTAAGCAAACTTTATTCAAATCAGCAAAAATGAGAAACAACCCAATGTCCGTCAAATGGTGAGCAGATAAACAAAATATGATATATCCACAGAATGAAATGCTATTAGCAATAAAAAGAAAAAAAACTAATACATAAAAAATAGATAAATTTCAAATGCACAATGCTAAATAAAAGAAGCCAGATTCAAAAAGCTACATATATTTGTATAATTTTATTTATATAATATTCTAGAAAAAAAATAAAACTGTAGGCATAAATCACAGATTAGTGGAAACCAGGGCTTAAGAAGTGAAGAGGGTATGACTACAATGGGAAAACACAAAGAACCTTTTGGAGAGCACTGTGATGTACTTTGATTATAGTAGTAGCTTTACCTAAAACTCTATGCATTTATCAAAAATGATAGAACCATACACCAAAAATAAGTTTTTCGGTATACTAAGAAAATAATTTTCTTCCTTTTTTTTCTTTTGTGATACTGGAGATCAAACCTAGGGCCTCACACATGCTAGGCAAGCAGTGTACCACTACGATATATTTCATTTCCAGTGCAAAAAATAATTTTCAAAAATAAACTAAAGATCATTTTAAAAAAAGAAGGAAAAAACAGAAGGTTGTTAATAATAATGAAGTCAAACAATAATAATAGGATAAATTAAAGCCTCTGAAATAAGAACAAGTATTAAAAAGATAACAGTAAGTTGAAGATGAGTTTCAAAGGAAAGACAGAAATTTAGTTACCAAAATTTGTGACAAATGTCAGAAAAATGAAAATGCTGACTTGAATATAAACTATACATTTGGTCCTGATTTGTCCTGGAATCTGAGATAATTCTAACTGTATAAGAGGATTCTACATCACAGATAAAGGAGAAAAGAGGCTCACAGACTAGTAATCAGGCAGGGCTTTAGACTTTTTTAAAATACTAGCACCTCTAAATGAAGGATCCTTTGTTTTCTGGGGGTTTTTTTAAAATATTTTATTTAATTGTGAAACATTTATTTATTTGTTCTTTTTTTTTTTTTTTTTTTTAATTTATAGCAGTACCTGGGATTGAACCCAGGAGCACTCTACCACTAATTATGTCCCTAGCCCTTTTAACTTTTTATTTTGAGACAGGGTCTTGCCAACTTGCTGATGCTGGAATCAAATCTGCATTCTTCCTGCCTCAGCCCCCAGAGTCACTAGGTTTATAAACATGCATGACTGCACCCGGTTCAAGGGTTCTTGATACATAGTATCTAGATAGAATTCTGGAAGTTCAAGAAAGCAGATAGTATAAAAATTTATCTTCATTTTTAACCTCTAGCTATGTACTATATTTCCTTAGACTGTGAATATATAAAAACAACTATCTTGACTAAACAGGATTTTGCCTTTATTACTCAAAGAAATCATAGTGTTCCTATTGTATGATGGTATCATGGATCTGCTACTATTTTCTTTTATATGCATTCTGAAAAAATAATTTTCAAAAACAGACCTAAGATAATTTTTAAAAATTCAATTTAGAATGTCTAATTATAACAGGAGAGATTAAAAACAAGGTCTCTGGAAAAAGTCATAAAAACCGGGCATTAAGGTGGGGATGAGTTTCAAAGGTAGGCAGAAATTAAATTATCCAAATTGGTCACTAATGTTAGGAAAATGAAAACACTGAACTGAATAAAAGTGTGCCTTTTGGACCTGATTTGTACTGGAGTCTAAGACTCATAAATTTATTATTATTATTTTGGTAGTAGGGATTTACCCTAGGGGCACTTTACCATTGAGCTACATCCCAAGCCCATTTTTTATTTTGAGACAATGTCTCTCTAAGTTGCTTAGGGACTCACTAAATTGCTAAGGCTGTCTTCGAACTTGCCAACCTCCTATCTCAGCCTCCTGAGTCACTGTAATTATAGACAGGCACCACTGCACCCAGCTAAAGCATAAATTTATAAATCATATATTTACAAATCATATATATGAAGTTTTTTAGTACTTTGGTAATTACTCTGCTCCCATCTTACAAAACTCCTCTTTCTTTTCTTTTCGTTCTTTCTTTTTGGCATATTAGGGATGGAATTCAATGGTGCTCTACCACCGAGCTACATTCCCCAGTCCTACATATTTTTTTTATTTTGAGACAGGTTCTCACTATGTTGCCCAGGCCAGCCTCCGTCTTCCAATCCTCCTGCCTCTGTGTCCCAAGTAACTGGGATTACAGGTATGCAGCACTGCAACTGACTCAAAATTTCTTTCTCCAGGTTCTCTAATATCCTACATATATCTATGAAGTGTCACTATCTCAATGGTTATATAACAGTTTACACCCAAGACAAGGAAATGCACAGCTTTTTTTTAGAGCAATAGTTATATTTCTTTATCCTCACTAGATAGTAGAGTGTACATATGTAGATATAGATTTATACATAAATATATGCAAGTGCTCTACCACTAAGCTACTTCCCCAGTCTTCCATGTAAAATTAAATCCATCAAATAAATGTTCCATCTAGTCATATATATATAAAAAGAGAGACCTGACACTGAATACTATAGGGCTAAATGAAAAGTACTTTCTGAAACTACAGATAGAACTAGTCTAAAAAAACCACATCTATCTTATGCACAAAAAGAAATTTAATAAAGGTATCTCAAAAAGGATTTTAAGTTGATAATATGTGGGGAAGTGTAAAATGTTTACTTTTGTCTCCTAAATACACTACACACTCATTGAGATATCTTGCATTATTGATTTAAAAAGTGAAAAACACAGGATCCGAAACCAAAACCAAAATAGCTAGACCTTAAAGGTTTCTACAGTAATACACTCCTTTGGTTCTTTGGGTTAAATAACAGCAATTACCAACCAAGTGAGATACAGCAGTTATTTAAACAATACAAATGTTTAAATGGTAGAGGGGAAAGTAAAGGGATCTAAGGGCAGCAATTCAACTGTGGATCAAACTACCAGAGAGAAAAAAAGAGTTTTCTGCAGTCTAGAGATAATCTAATGAGAACTATGAAAAAGAGAAATGTTCTTAGAGATAAGTAAATATTATAAATATAAAAGAAAATATTTACAAAAGTAATTTTCTTATAAAGGCATCATTTCCTTCCCATCAATAAAATGTACCAGTTTAAAAAAAAAACAAAAAAAACTTCAGATACACCTCTTATTTTATAACAGAAATCAAGGGCCAAATAGAATTTGCTATTCCATATTTCCTTACCATTATTTGGTGACAAAATGAAATGTGTAAATACAGAACAACTTAATTTCAACTGAACACTATTTTATTTGAATGGGACACTTTACCATTGAGCATATACCATTTAAAAAGTTTTTTAACAAAAACATAACAATATATTCAATCTATACTAATTTGCCCTATATCCACTAACCTCTTAGGAATCTTTTATTATAAGCTGTCAAATTATTGAGTTTTTATATGATTTTTTCTGATTGCATAGTCACTACATGTTCATTACAGAAAACTTACAATAACAAAAGAATTCCCCATAATCTTACCAACTATAAATAACCACTAATTATTTTATTTCTTCTGTGAGTACTAGCTTACTTAGTAAAAATGCTATTAATCAATACTTTTTGCCCACTTGTTTTCAGTTGTTCAGCTAAGAGCTTTATAAACACTATTTTATTATTATAACAATCTTATTCAAGAAATAGGTGAATATTACCATTACAGTTTTTATCAACTACAGTTTAAAGTGGTTAGGAAATACGTCCATAGTCACAGAGATAAGTGGTAGAGTTGAACCCAGCATCTTTGATCACTATACAATATCATCATTGATATAGATGATAACATATTCTTCTCTTTGTTCCTAAGTAATTTCCTATATCATAAAAATTATAATTTTAGATGGCTATCCAATATCATTTGAATATATAATAATTTACTTAACCACTCCTCTATTAGATCAGATTATTTCTGTATAATATTTGTAAAGGTGATTCATTAAATAGAAAAAATAAAAACTAGGATTGGGGATATAGCTCCCAGGTAAAGTACTTGCCTAGGAAGCATGAAGCTCTGGGTTCAATCCCTAGTACCATCAAAAAATAAAATAAAATAAAAACTAGGTACATGCAAGACTTGTTTGATTAGTTTAAACTTAAAATTAAATATATGATTCAACTTACTCTTTTACTGAGGCATATAACTGGCCACATACTGCAACCTAATGTGCAGCAGCAACAAAGGCAGCCACAAAGTAGCCAACGTACATTAACAGGAAGGTTCTTCTTAAGACAACTGTTAACTCTGTTGATGCTGGCTTTAAATTCTTCAGGAGCTACCTAAAGAAAGAGTTTAAGAAATAACAACATCGAAATATTAACAAACATGTCTCATACATTTTGTCTAATTTTCTAGGAAAAACTTTAGTTTTGAAACATCTAAATAGGAAATAAATAATTGAGCTACTCACTTTTCCAGTTAATGAAGAAGGGAATTCTGATTCAAATTTGTTGCTCAGTCCAAATCTATTTTTAAAAAAATAAGAAAATGTTATATTATGTATCACTGTTATAAAAAAATAAAAAATGTAAACATTTAGACTAACTCTGTGGCAGAGGCTTGTAATCCCAGAAATTTGGAGGCTGAGGCAAGAAGATCACAAGTTTTTTGTGGTACTGGGGATTGAACTCAGCCTGATAACTTAATAAGACTATCTCAAAAGAAAAATAAAGAGGGCTGTGTGCTGGGGTTGTGGCTCAGTGGTACAGCAATCAACTGGCATGCGTGAGGCACTGGGAGCAATCCTCAGCACCATATAAAAATAAATAAAGTAAATGTACTATGTCCATCTACAACTAAAGAAAAAAATATTTTAAAAAATAAATAAATAAAGAGGGCAGGCAGCAGGGCAGGGAGGGGGAACCTAGCTCAGTGATATAGTACCCTGAGTTCGATCCCCAGTACCACAAAAAAATAAATAAATATTTAACTTAAAGATCAGAAACATCAGTAGAATGTAGATTAATATATATAGAAGTTAGAGACAAATGTAAGTATAAGACACAAGAGTTTCATAATAATCAATTTATGAAATTTAACAAGCAATTATTTGTCAATGAATCAAAACTTTCATATAATAATATGAGACTGAATGTTACCTAATCAGCAGTATATAAGTAAAAGAATAGATGATTCATTTAATTTGAGCTACCACCTCCTCCTTAAAAACTTCAAAGCATTTTTTTTTTTTTTGCGGGGGTGCTAGGGATTGAACTCAGGGAAACTTAACTACTGAGCCACATCTCTAGCCCTTTTTATTTTTTATTTTGAGACAGGGTCTCCCTAAGTTGCTTAGGGACTCACTAAGTTACTGAGGCTGGCCATGAACTTGCAATCCTCCTGCCTCAGCCTCTCGAGCCTCTGGGATTACAAGTGTGCACCATAAAACATATTACCTTTATAGACATGATAGCCAATTTTCTAGTTTTGAATGTTAGTGGTAGAGATAAGCCATGGTTTTGAAGGTTAATAGGTGTCCTTGGTAGACACAAGTAATAAGAGAAGGAAAAAAGTGGGAAGGAGGAATAGAAGAGCGAAAGGAGAGAAAATATAAATAAAAACAAAGTAGGGCTTGACAAAATGCTACCAAGAATTATCTTAGGTGACACTCAATACCTACTTGATTGTCAGTGTATTAAATGGTATGAAAGAAAACCCAGACACCTCCTCTATGGCCATCTATTCCTATTACCTGAAAAATCGTTCCTTGAATTTGGATTAAAATACTACATGGCTTTAGAAGTGATAAACGATTTTCAAAGATTACAAAAAAATTATAAACTTAACACACTATGATCTTACCTATTAGAAATATACTAATACTTGGAGAAAAGGGCATTCAAATTACAAATACTGAACATCTTCTATGAGATATGTCCTGATGATCCTATAATGGAAGTTTTTAGAACTTTTTTTTAAAAGAAATAATGTACAAGGTCAATTTACTTTTATATAATTTAATTTTTAGGGGGCTGGGATGTGGCTCAAGTGGTAGCGCGCTCGCCTGGCATGCGTGCGGCCCGGGTTCGATCCTCAGCACCACATACAAAGATGTGTGTCCGCCGAGGACTAAAAAATAAATATTAAAAAAAAAAATTCTCTCTCACTCTCTTTAAAAAAAAAAAAAAAATTTAAAGTTCATGCACACTCGTACATTGCTGGTGGGACTGCAAACTGGTGTAGCCAATTTGGAGAGCAGTATGGAGATTCCTTGGAAAGCTAGGAATGGAACCACCATTTGACCCAGCTATTCCCCTTCTCGGACTATACCCAAAAGACCTAAAAAGAGAATACTACAGGGACACAGCTACATCAATGTTCATAGCAGCACAATTCACAATAGCTAGACTGTGGAACCAACCCAGATGCCCTTCAACAGATGAATGGATTAAGAAATTGTGGCATTTATTCACAATGGAATATTATTCAGCAGTAAAAAATAACAAAATCATGGCATTTGCAGGGAAATGGATGGCACTAGAGCAAATTATGCTAAGCGAAGTTGGCAATCCCTAAAAAACAAATGCCGAATGTCTTCGCTGATATAAGGGACGTGACTCAAAACAGAGTAGGAAGGAAGAGCATGAGAAGATTACCACAAAATAAGGAAAGAGGAGGGAGGGAAAAGGAGGGAGAAGGGGAAATGCACAGAAGACGGAAGGAGACCCTCATGGGTTCACAAAATACATATCCGATGGTGTGAGGGAGAAGGAAAGGGGAAAAAAAGAGAGAGGTTAAGTGTCACAGTAGCATAGGTAGACAATAGGGATGGGAGGGGAGGGGAGGGGAGTGGGGCATAGGGAGGGCAGCAGAATACAACTGACACTAAGATTGCTGTATGTATACACATGGATGTATAACCAATGTGATTCTGCAATCTGTACGTGTGGAACAATGACAATTCATACCCTATTTGAATCAAATGTATGATATGTCAAGGTCATTGTATTGTCTTGAACAACTAATAAAAATAAATTTTAAAAAAAGTTCATGCAAAACATTAGGCAAAGCTTTGAATGTAACTTGGCGTTTATGTAGAAATTAATTCTTGCAATAGGCTTGTTGTATTCATATTCCACATACTTCCAGTTCACTATGTCCTCCTTCCTATAATCTACAGCCATAACTCAAAGTGTAAACTAAGCTGTTACCTTGCTTTCTCATTTCATCCAATTCAGCCTTTTCCTTTCCTGACAGAGCCTCCCTTTTAAAATCCCCTTTACTCTTTCCTTTGGAACTCCTAATCTGTTGTTATGCTGCTACCAGTATACCTCCTTATATCTTCTCTTCATCAAAAGGAGATCAACAGAAAAGGAAACAGATCAGGGGAGGGAGGAGGGAAGGGAAAATACTGGAGAATGATATTGGCCAAATTATATTGTTATATTGTGTGTATATATGAACATGTAACAACAAATTCCATCATCAGGAGCCAGGCACTACATGTCTGTAAATCCAGCAACTGAGGAGACTGAGGCAGGAAGATCACGAGTTCAAAGTCAGCCTCAGCAACTCAGCAAGACCTTGTCTCTAACAAAATATAAAAAAGGGTTGGGGATGTGGCTCAATTGTTAAGCGCCCCTGGATTCAATCTCTGGCACCAAAAAAAAAAAAAAATTCCACAATTATGTACCTCTACAATACACCAATAAAAAAAAAATGTGGGGGGCTGGGGATGTGGCTCAAGCGGTAGCGCGCTCGCCTGACATGCGTGCGGCCCAGGTTCGATCCTCAGCACCACATACAAAGATGTTGTGTCCGCCAAAAAACTAAAAAATAAATATTAAAATTCTCTCTCTCTCTCTCCCTCTCTCTTTAAAAAAAAAATGTGGGGGAAAAATGCCTCTTTCCTTAGGAATTCTCAACTGTAACACATTCTTAACTTAATGAATTATGAAGAAATTAAGCTCCATCTAATTCAGCAGCGTATACACTGTAATATATAGTCCGGATACTGTTATCATTGGGACTGTATCACCTGAAATTTTGAACTGTAAAATTCTATTACTACTATTAAACATTCCATGTCTTCCATCCTTACACCAAGGTTTTTGGGTCTCTGATTATATCTTTTTTTTTTTTGCTGCTGGGGATTGAACCCAGGGCCTTGTGCATGTGAAGCAAGCACTCTAGTGAGCTATATCTCAAGTGAGCTATATCCCCAGCCCCTCTGGTTATAGCTTACTGCTTTTCACCCCTTGAAATCTCCCAATGGCTCCCATTTCCTTCCCTATGTGTCAGAACTATATACTTAATCATTTTCATTTGTTGTTGTTGTTTTTGTTTTTTTACAAAACTTTTAATTGTTTTGACCATACTCCAACAAATATCCATTATCATCTTTACAGTATCTTCTGACAACCCAGGTTCAATTAAACTGTTTACTTTCTTCACTTCAATTCTCACTGCCTGGAGCTACTAGAAAAAAAAATCACCCTAACTTATAAATATATTATTTCTAATTTCAGTATTATTGCCTAAGCAATTTTTTTTTCTGTTCTATTAAATTACCTTACCCATATTCCATGGTTGTTGTTCCTCTTCATGTACTCAGCTTTATCCTCACAACTCACAGTTTTTGCAGATAACCATAGTGGTTAACTCCAAGTGGGGAAAAAAAAAAAATCACTGAATATAAACTGCTTTAGCTTCCCTCCTTTTAACTTTTAGATTTAGCCACATGTCTTCTATATCTTTCTCCCTCTCTCTTTGGGTACTGGGTATTGAACCCCAGATGCTTTTACCACTGAGCCCCAGCCTTTTTAAAATTTTATTTTGAGACAGGATCTTGCTAAGTTGCCCAAGTTGGCCTCAAACTTCTGATCCTTCTGCTTCAGACTCCCAAAGTAGCTAAAGGCTTGCTACCAACTATCTTCATGAGTTGCTTAGGGCCTCACTGAGTTGCTGAGGCTGGCTTTGTACTCGTGATCCTCCTGCCTCAGCCTCCCCAGTTGCTGGATTTACAGCAACTATCTTCTCAAAGCTAACTATTTGCTCCTGATTGCATATCCTCTGCAATCCCTGTCTTTGTACACATAGACTACAAACCTGCATAAGTCCACATGGCCTGAATGTTTTATAGGGATTTTCTTCTCCCTCAATGTATGATAACATCCATCTCTTGTTCTCTCTCAGAGTCTTGAAAGAGTTCTTTACGTCCACTATCTTTAACTCAGATCCCATTCATTATGCAAACTATAACAATCCAGGCTTTCAACTGCATCTTTACTGATGAAACTGATCTCATCAGAGCAGTTAAAAAACAACTCTTTTCAACAAGTCTTCTTTTACAGTATGCCTTCTCCTAGTAAAGAACCTGGGCATCAGAAAGTCTTATTTGGCAAGGCATCAACAAATAATCCTTTGCTATATCTTTCATCTTTGCCAAAGCTTTTTTATTTTTTAAATCAGTCAACCAAAGCAATACTATCAGATCAAGTTTTTACAAGATCATTGTATTTTATTA